GCAATCATTGGAAAATCAAATAATATAAGAAATAAAATAGATAAATAGATAAGTAGTTTTGTATTGACGTTCTCAATTTTATTTTATCACTTTATGAGTTGACCTAATTTTGTTTATAGTTTCTTTCTTGTTTGGTTTGGTTTACGGGGATTATAAAAAATTTATAGAGTAAAAATAGTTCAAATCCAAATTTGCAAATAAATTTATCAATATTCTAGAAAATAAATATTTGAGTAGTAAAACAGAAAAATAAAATAAAAAGGTACACTTTTTTAAATATGAATAAGTGTAGGGATCATAATTCTCTCCTATGAGATCGATATAACGACGAGATCAACTCTATAACGTCTTGACGAAATCAGATCAAGTCTACAAGGGCCCAGTCTGAATCTATGCCCAAAATGATATTAAATCCATGATCAAAATGGACTTAATGAAATAATGGGCCTAAATTAGAAATATTGTTTAATGGGCCAAACCCATTTTATTAGCTGGCCCATTTACTTAACAGTATATATACCTCATTGTATTCACCCAAAAAGGGGTTCAGAACTTTTGGCAGAGAAACTCTCTTGTAATCACAGCTTAACAGAAACAGCAATAAAGAATTCTTATTCTCAGTCTTTGTTCGAAGTGTATTCGCGACATAGAAATCTCTAATCCCCAAACACCCTTGACAAATTTAACTGTGCAGATCCGACTCCCACAGTTTGGACCATCTAAGGGGAAGAGAGACTTTTTGACACAAAGAGAAGATGACTTCGCACACTAGACAAGAGAAGATGACCAGGAGCGACAACAACAGTGGCAACAGCAATGACGACTCCTCGGCGTCACAGCCAGACAACACGGCCGCTAGGCGCAGCCAGACAGGTGACGACGCTGTCAATGTCTCCGCGATGAATCCGACAGCCTTGAACGAGCTAAAAGACATGATGAAGATACTGCTCGAGAGGACAACACATCATGAAGACAAGCTGAAGTCTCTTACAAAGGCTCGCAAGAAAACCACCGGGACCTGCGGACTGCGGCGGTCACTCGGGCGGTTCAGACAACGGATCCAACTCTGGAGCGACCCAACTTCGGAGCGAGCCAACGGAACAACGGGCACAGGACCAACTGCTTCAGGAAGGATCGCGCAGGAACGCCAAACTGCTTCAGGAAGGATTGCACAGGAATGTCAAGTTGCTTCAGGTGGGATCGCGCGGACAGTCGATAGAGATAGCAACCCACGCAAGACATGCAACTTGGAGAATCTTAGCACACCTGCAAGGAGAGATCGATCCCAGGCTCGTTGGAACGACGCGGACATCGAGTACGACCATGACTTCACCGAAGAAGAAAGAGGTCTCTACTAGAACAAACAGTCCGAGCTCGAACAAGAACGCAAGACCCTGCTCCAAACTCAGAACGAAAAGATGACCAGGATGCAAGCACAGCTTGAGCGCGCCGCCTCCGACTTAAGAACCGCACAGTCCCAATTGCACCGGGTCAATAG